GATTAATCGCATCCAAAATAAATGTTTTTGTTAACATAATATATATGTGTGTGTACTGTGTATATATTTATTATGTATATATAAATACACACACAGGCATGTATATATTTAAGAATATGAAATAAGAAAATGTTGTTTATATATTAAATGTATTTATATATATAATATAAATTCTATGAATATAAATATATATGCCACTAGATCAGCCAGTCTTTATCACAGGCTTGTGTTTGTTGCAGGCTGACGATCCACTGGCTGGCGGCCCGGTCTGTGATCCGCTCTCTGGAGCTGCAGGATCGAGCCGGAGGAGCTGCAGGTGTGGAGAACATCAGGAGCAGGATCGTGGAGCTCAGCGTTCAGGCCGGAGTGAGCAGCGTTCACACGGCCTTCATCGGCGTTAATAAAGACAGCAGACAGACAGTGAAAGGGCCGCTGCTGCAGAGGAGAGTGCTAACAGAGCGTAAGTTCACTGATGCTGTGTGTGTTTAGAGCAGGACTGTCCTCCAGTCCCAATCAAACACACCTGCACCAGATAAACTCTAAACTTCTGTGTAGAAGTGGGGTTTCATAAGCAGTTTCCTGTCACATAATAGTGTAATAGTGGTGTGCTGACATCCTAAACATGTGGAATTCTATTCTTTATTAGGTTTGAAGCAACGGCCTGTAGCGTATGGTGCCCCTGCGAAAATGAGCCGTAAGAAATAATATACATTGTTCTTTCCTTTTTAACCTTTTATGTGGGTCAGTCCAGCTCAAGTGGTCCAATCGAGGGTGTTTGATCATTTTCCTAATTTCTTTGGATTGATGATCTCTTTGTATAGGTGATGCAGTTGTTATTTTACCTGGTTTAACCACAGTTTCTGTGGTTGTGTCACAGCAAGAGCACATCTGAGTCTGAAACTGTGTCATCCACCGAGCTGTTTCAGTTGGCAGCCAGTTTCTACATAGATAGCTAGCTATTTGAATAAGACTAGGGCTGGGAATCAATTCCAAAAAGAATGGATTCTGAGGCGTTGGGAATCCAGAGTCAGGGCCTTTTTCAGTACAACAAAGCTTATCTATGGGTGCCTCTCAAACGGAAGTGTATATATTTAAGAAAAATATGTTTATATATTAAATGTATTTATATATAATATAAATTCTATGAATATAAATATACAGTATATGTAAACACGTGTAAATATTTTCAAAATACATAATGTATGCGTTTGTAATTATATATACACATAATACATATACACAGTACACACACGTATATTATATAAACAAAAACGTTTATTTTGGATGCGATTAATCGCGATTAATTATTTGACAGCACTATTTCCATTGCCTCTAATGGAATTAACTGCCTCATCGGCGTTAATAAAGACAGCAGACAGACAGTGAAAGGGCCGCTGCTGCAGAGGAGAGTGCTAACAGAGCGTAAGTTCACTGATGCTGTGTGTGTTTAGAGCAGGACTGTCCTCCAGTCCCAATCAAACACACCTGCACCAGATAAACTCTAAACTTCTGTGTAGAAGTGGGGTTTCATAAGCAGTTTCCTGTCACATAATAGTGTAATAGTGGTGTGCTGACATCCTAAACATGTGGAATTCTATTCTTTATTAGGTTTGAAGCAACGGCCTGTAGCGTATGGTGCCCCTGCGAAAATGAGCCGTAAGAAATAATATACATTGTTCTTTCCTTTTTAACCTTTTATGTGGGTCAGTCCAGCTCAAGTGGTCCAATCGAGGGTGTTTGATCATTTTCCTAATTTCTTTGGATTGATGATCTCTTTGTATAGGTGATGCAGTTGTTATTTTACCTGGTTTAACCACAGTTTCTGTGGTTGTGTCACAGCAAGAGCACATCTGAGTCTGAAACTGTGTCATCCACCGAGCTGTTTCAGTTGGCAGCCAGTTTCTACATAGATAGCTAGCTATTTGAATAAGACTAGGGCTGGGAATCAATTCCAAAAAGAATGGATTCTGAGGCGTTGGGAATCCAGAGTCAGGGCCTTTTTCAGTACAACAAAGCTTATCTATGGGTGCCTCTCAAACGGAAGGCTGCACACATTTAAATTCATGAAAAAAACAAAGAAAACGATTCAGTACGAGTTTCAGGATTCAGAGGCTGTTTTACGGAGGGACTGACTTATGTTGTCCACAATTTTGAGCGCTGCACGACAGAATAGATCATGACGTGATCGAAGGTCTTGATCTTATTTCCATCTTAAAGGGGTCACCGAATGCCCATCTTCCACAAGCTGATATGATTCTTTAGGGTCTTAATGAAAAGTCTGTGACATAGTTTGGTTAAAATTTCTCAATAGTAGTGTAAAACTACACAGTTTTTACCCTGTCAAAAGCAGCTCTGTCTACAGCAAGCCGTTTTGTTGCATGTCGCTTTAAATGCAAATGAGTTCTGCTGACTCCGCCCCTCTCTTCCGAGCCACTCTCTGAGGGACTGTTTGCTTTGTTCATCGTGAAACTTGCTAATTAGCACATTAACAGGAAAGGCGATTTGCAAAGATTCATTACAAAACCTTACACTCACTTCTTCTGTAGATGAAGCTGGATCACGAATGATTGGCGCAAAGATAGACGCATTTCGAAGAAGAAGAAATTGCGCATTCACACTTGTACGGTTCATTTTCCATCAGTACCTTTTCCACACTTGTTTATCTGGCGCCTGGTGCTGAGGAGAAGTCGGAGAGCGCGTCTGAAAAGACCCCCTTTTGTTCTGCGTCTAAATAAATGCAATTATTTTCAAGAACAAAAGAAACAGCAGTTGTGCAGCAGGGAGGCCAAAGGACGTAGCTCCATCCCTGGTCTAAAGAACAAGAAATTCGTGAACCTGGTGAAGATTGGTTTTTAATATTGAGAGAATTTACAGAAATATTGAGATTTCTGTATGTGTTCATATAATGAAGATGTGACACAAAGATGCCCGCTGTGGATAAACCAAGTAAAATTGAAAAACCATCCGTTTTTAGTTTTTATGTGCCAATACATAGAGCTAATTACTGAAAAATAGAAGTAGTAAGAATGCAACCAACTTGACAGTTTTTGGAGCTCTTGAGATGGATTTGAGCCGTGTGTGTGTGTGTTGTTTGGTGTGAGGGTTTTGATTTTGTTTGTGATTTTGACAGATGAGTGTTTTTAAAGTGTCTGTTATTCTTATGTGTGTTTTTCTCTCTGTATTTTTAGGAAGGGCGGCTCCCTTGGGATGTAGCTCTTTAGGAAGTAGGAGATGTGCAGCGACAAAAGGCACGCCACTCAACTTGTCTTGTTCTAATCTAATTGCCTTTTTCTCCATATCTGAATGTGCTCTCATCAGTTTCTCTCTGTATTCATAGCAATGCAGGTTGACACTGAACCGTGTATTAGAAGTAAGCAGCCAACACGCACGTCACTAATTTGTCTTGTTCTTTTCTCAATGTCTGATTGTCACTCTTTGAATGCTTGTTTTTTAGCAAATGCTCTTAAATCAACGTCTGATCATGTCTTCTTCCAATCTACAGAACGCAGCATGATGGTTGCATCTGCTTCTGCGTCACATCGGGGTAAATCAACACATCCGGCTCACATTCAGAACACATTACTCTGATCAGATGTGGATGTCATATTATTATGTAACAAGTACAGTGCTGGATTTCCATCCCATCTGAATAAGCCACATCAGCGTACAACATTTCTTCTATTACTTGCCCTTAACAGTAACTATAGATCATAGGAATCAATGACAAACCATTTATGGGTAAATGTAGTTTCCTGGTGTGGCACTCTTGAATGTTTAAATATGCTTAAACGAAACAAAACTTAAACAGATGGGCAGCTAATGAAGGTCTGCTTATGGAAATCAAATATGTTTCTCAAGGGTTTTTGTGCTGTTGCTCTAAACACTTTAAATAGTGCAAAAACACTGCATGTAGATCATTTCAGAAGTTGTTTTCTTTGAGATGGAAAAGAAAAAAGCATGTTATTACATACAGTAGTAGCCTGGATTGATAGCATCACACTTCATCATGCACGCGTTTCTACAGCAAGAGTTTGGATATGTTTAGATTTTGTTTTTTTTTGTGCATGTCTTGCATCAGCTGGATTTTTTGTCATGTAACGGCGCTGAACTGTGTGTGATGACATCATGACTGCGTTTGGATTGTGATGTCATCGTCGTCATCACCGCTGGTCTGTCTGCTTCGGGTGCTGAGGTTAAAGCTTCAGAAATGGCTAAACTCTCTCTGTTTCAGAACATTGAGAAACAGGCTTAACTAGGATCCGTGTATAGCCCTGAAAATGAATCCTGTCTGCACTGATCTGCTTTACTGTCAATCATAACATAAATCATGCTGCTTCCTTCTATCTAATCCATGCGTGTGTTTCAGCCGAACCCGAGCTCCAGAAGGACCCTTTGCTCCAGCTGGTCTCTCTTCAGAAGGCAGTGGGATGCTGGGAGCTGAACGCTGCGCTGGCTGGTGTGTTTGGGAAGACGGAGGACGAGGTGACCAATCACAGACCAGCACAGGTGGGACAAATCCAGTGCTGAGAAGTTGATTAACACTGTTGCATTCTCCTGTATTATTGACTATTGCAATGCTTTGTTGGCCGGGGTTTCAAATGCTACCCTAAACAAAATTTGGCTGCTAGAATCCTAACTAGAACTAGGATTAGAGATCATATCACTCCTCTCTTACAGTCCTTGCATCGGCTCCCTGTTAGGTTTAGGGCTGATTTTAAAATGCTGATGCTTATTTAAGGCTGTGCAGTGTGCATGGTTTGGCACCTCGATATTTGTCAGAGCTTTAAACTCCCTATACACTAATGCGTGACCTTCGCTCATCTGAAACTGGTCTGTTAACTGTTCCCTCAACCTGTTTAAGATCGATGGTCGATGGGGCTTTTTCTTCACAAGCTCCAAAACTATGGAACTCTTTACCTATTGAGTTAAGGCAATCTAAATCTCATTTTTAAATCTTGCCGTAAAACTCATTTCTTTAGGGTAGATTTACTTAGATTTTTATATTAATTATATATTTTATTTTTGAATGTTTGAATGCATTTCTTCTCTTCTTGCTTATTTTATAATGTTTATATGTGTCCCTGGAGCACAAAAGCAGTCATAAGCAGCACAGGTATATTTATAGCAATAGCCAACAATACATTGTATGGGTCAAAATTATACATTTTTCTTTTATGCCAAAAATCATTAGGATATTAAGTAAAGATCATGTTCCATGAAGATATTTTGTAAGTTTCCTACCGTAAATATATCAAAACTTAATTTTTGATTAGTAATATGCATTGCTAAGGACTTCATCTGAACAACTTTAAAGATGATTTTCTCAATATTTAGATTTTTTTGCACCCTCAGATTCCAGATTTTCAAATAGTTGTATCTCAGCCAAATATTGTCCTATCCTAACAAACCATACATCTTTCAGATGATGCATAAATCTCAATTTCACAAAATTGACCCTTATGACTGGTTTTGTGCTCCATGGTCACATATGGATTATTTTATTGTTTTACTTGTTTATGTAAAGTGCTTTGAGATGTTACATTAAAGGCGCTATAGAAAATAAAGATGATTTATTATTATTATGCGATGTCATATCCTCAGGTAGGTCATGACTGGTGTGTGTGTGTGTGTATGACGTGTGTGTGTGTGTGTGACGTGTGGTGTGTGTGTTTCAGGTGGATGGGTCAGTGTGGGCCACCGTCCTCGCTCTCATCTGGTTATACTCGTATAAACTCGATCAGCAGGTGGAGTGGCAGTTTGTGGCCATGAAGGCGGCGTCATGGATCTGCTCTCAGAAACGTGAGACGATGCTCATTCATTCAGTGCTTGCTGTACATGTCCTTGTTCAGTGGTGATTGAGTGTGTGTGTGTGTGTGTGTTTCAGCGGGCGGTCTGTCTCAGTGTGTGTGTGACGGGAACCTCCTGCTGGGATCTCAGCTGACTGAAGACACGCTGGGAATCTGAAGACTGAAGAATCTTGAGAAGACCAAAGATCTCTCTCTTAATCATAAACATCTGCGTGTGTTTTCTAGGGTAACATCTAAACATATCTTAACAGAATAAAAGATTTATTTTTGTATCAGTATTTTTTAGTATGTGTAAGCGTTAGGACTTTTCCTAAATTCATTGCTTTAAATCTAATGATCTAATCTTATGGTACCTTGTGTTTTGAAGTCACTGAATCAGGATTTCTGTCTGATCCTGACTCTGTGTGTGTTGAAGTGAGCAGATTGTGTCGGTGTCTTTACCAAACTGTGTTATTAAAGGTGCATTAAGTCAAGTCACCTTTATTAATATAGTGACGTAACACGTACTGTATGTTGATCTTCTGTTCATCTTCATTCTGTCATTAATGATCACTGTCTGTAAACAGAAGTCAGTCTATAGATGTTCTAACAGTGAATAAAGATTATTACGCTGCATCAGGTTCAAACTGAACACGCAAGCCCGCAGGTGATGGAGATTTACCGCTGATTACAGAACCGGCTTCACTGATAAGATGCGCGTTAAATATCGCATGCGATTAATCGTGCAGCCCTATTTTGGATACAATGTGACTTTAAATCTCTTGTCTTTAATGAACGTCTTTTTTCATCCCACTTTTGATGTTTGTTGCTTACTCCATCCATGATTTACATATCATTCACTTAGAGTATAATTAATTAATCAGCTTTCCCTTAATTGTGTTGATTACCTGGTGTCTCCAATTAGTGTCTTGAACTGCGTATATATGCAGGTGATTTATAAGGTTTAAAGCCAGAAGATTGTGCAAGATGGTCTGAAATGTTTACAGAATTTTCTTTTTTTTTTTCTTTTCTTTTCTTACTTTTTTTTTGTTTTTTTTTGTTTGAACACTTTTGCATTTTGTTGTCACTTTATATGAAAATTATCAAATATGTAGATCCCCTTTTTTGCTTCCTGGCACACAGGAGAGTTACAGGAGCAAATCTGAGATTTTAGTTTTATTCCTTTAGTTATTAGTTAACTTGCCTCCCGCCAGTAAATGCATAAAAGAAGAAGAAACACTGAAGAACAACAGAAGAAGTGATGAACTGGAGTTTCTCCGGACAGCTGCTGTTTCTGTGAGTTTGCTGTAAACTGTTGATCATCAATCATTTATTCAACTACTTGCTTTGACTTGATTCTAGTTCTGTTTGTGTTTCCAGATCCCACTGATGAATGCAATTTAATTTGTTCTTTCACTTTCTGTGACCATTCTGTCAGTGACTCTTTAATTCAGCTATCATTAGTCTGCTATCATTACAGTGCAGTCATTTCTACAGCACATCTGCCTTCAGCGTTTGAGTTTGATTGATTTTAATTAATGATTTCTTGTTCTACAGAATTGGATGTTGCCACGTTATTGGGAACTTGCCACGCTGAGGGAGAATTGGGAAGCTGCCACGCATGTTCATTCGCTTTTTTGTTGTTGTGTGTGTGTGTGTGTGTGGGCTTTTCTTTTCCGCATGTTCATAAGTGTCACATCGGTCTAGATTTGTTCATGTTTTCAGTTCAGTTGTCTTTATTTTGTCATTGCTGATGATCATAGTGTTGTCCTCTGTTTTCCTGCTGGTGTCTCTTGTCTTCATTGGTTCATTGCTCTATCTGCTTTTTATTCCAGTTCTGTTTGTTCCTTTATTTCTGCTTTTTTGTTTGTTTGTTTCTCTCATCTGTAACTGTCCTCGTGATCAAACTACAGACTGTCAATACACTCCTAATGTAAGTAATTTCATTCTAAAATAAAAGTACAAATTCATCTTTAAAATTGTAACTGGTTTACAAACAAACATGTTCTTTTCTCCTTTTTAGTTTATTGGTGACATGTGAGTGTGAGCAGCTCCCCTCATCTTCATCTCTGCTCTTCTCCATAAAGTAACAGATATTGAGTTTATAATCCATATTGTTAGAATGTTTTAATAATTACTTGGGGATTATGCATAAACGTTCCCAGTCACCCAAAAAACAAAGTTCTCCTCTGACTATCACTTTTCCTTTTAACATTGCGAAGGCCTTGGTACTTTTGTCCTTCGTGAACAGCTGTTTTTACAGAAACTAGTGGAAGAGAGCTACTGTAACTCTAAACTCAGTTTTGTATTTCAGATGCATCTCAATCTCATCATCTGCAGAGAAACTGCTGCTCGATCACCAGAATGATGGCCTGAATGCTTCAGAGAGGATTGTGAAGAGATTCCACTGGAACTTGTTCTTAATCACATCTGTGTTCTGATTCCTTTGTGTTTTACTTCATGCATTTATTAATCTTCAGTGTCAGTTGTCATTTATTAATACATTCAGGTGATAACTGTTCAAAGCAGTGATATTTGTGCTACAATTTCACATGCCAATAAAAAGCAAATTATATGGACACTTCATGTTTAATGGAATTAAATGATTAGTTAATTGCATTTTAATAGATTACACTTTCAATAACACATTTGGATTTGTTTGTAAAAGCTGTGTTTATGCATGGTTTTAATACAGCGTGTGGTGTTTCCAGCGATTCACTGAATCATTCTGTGAAGCAATTGATTCAGAGTTTGTAAATGATTAATTTCTCCATCGCTAGCAAAGCTGGGTTTCTGATATATTTGAGCTTTATCATTGCGAAAAGCAAGCACGTTTAATTTCCACTGGTTACAACAGATTAAAGATGAGACCCACTTTATAATAATGTTAAATTGAATGCACTTTAAATGCATAAAAAAACCCAATAAATAATTCTAAACAAGTCTCTCAGTTGTGTATTGTATTTTTGCATAAGGACAGTAAAAATGCACTGCAATAATCAAGTCGATTCAAAATAGGCATAAATCATTTTTTTTTCTATTGATGAGTGATTGAATTAGTTTAATGCATTTTAATGTAGCGCCATTTTAAATCGTAAAATCTTTTTTTTCCATTTTAATGTTTTTTTTAATTTTAAGTTAAATTGTTTAAATAAGCTACACACAAGTACAAATTCATTTCTTCATATTTGATAAAACAACTTGGAAAACTGACAAAACATAGGTCTTACTGGTCTATAATAGAAGCTGTCCATAAAACACACAAACAACAAAAGCCCTGCAAATTAATATAAACTATTTTGAAAACCACATATATACGGACACGTCATATTTAATGTTATTTTATTATTTTTTATTGCATTTAATGTATTCTACTTTCAATAAAACATGTGCAATGTGTTTGTAAAAGCAGTTTTTATGCATGTTTTAGCCTGAGTTTGTATTGCATTGACAAGCTTCTGACCAGCAGGCGTCACTAGTGCTGTTTCCAGCGCTTCGAATCACTGAATCATTTTGTGAAGCAATTAGTTCAATTGATTCGAAGCTTCGAGAAGGTTCGTTTCTCCCATCATTAGGTGACGTAACTTCCGATTCTTCTGAAATTGGCCTTAAATCGTTCACAGAGACACGTGTTGATCATCATGGCGTCTGAACACGGAGAGGTAAGCATCTGGCTGTTTAGTTAGTTTACAGTGGCTCAAAATATCCACGGAGAAGCTTTCTACCTGGATGCTATACCACAGTGTGTCATCTAATTTAAACTAAATGAACAAGAAAATTGTGTTCTTCTCTAAATGTTTAAAAATCCTCGATTGTAAATCCCACACACGAGAATTGATGAAACGCATTATTAGACCGTTTTCTAAGACGGCATGATAAATTAATCCCATTTAGAAGTTATAAAGCATAACGCTGTTGTTAATTCACAAATGTTACAATTCAATTAAACACATGCATTGTAATTATTTACATGCATGTGTGTTGTGTTTGTTGCTCTGCACGAACTGTTAGCGACTCAAGCTCTATCTCTGCAGATGCTGTGAGTTTGGTTTGAGTATATAATGTTCATCTGGGAACCTGTGAGGCCTTTCATCAGATTTGTGATGTCAATCATTCACGAACCTTTGCAAACTCAGGAGAATGGATCAGTATCTTTAAATATGCTAACTGTTCATCGTGATTTCAAAATAAAAGTTCAAGCCCTCGCTCTGAGTTTGCATGTTTAATGTCTACATATTCAAGAAATGACAGAGACTGTAGCTTTTCTGTTGTAAAGAAATGTCCAAATATTAAAGATTAAGTGGACATTTGAACTAAATGTTGTTTAGTCAAGGATTGGATCTTGCTGTAATGTGTAAAAAGTCATCAGGCCTCTGCAGGTGTTGGTTATGCATAATGTACTAGGGCTGCACGATAAATCTAAATGGAATCGCGATTTGACAGAAGCTGTGATGGTCATGCGTATCTTTCAGTGGAGCAGGGTTCTGTGATCAGTAGTAAATCTCCATCCAAAGGCCAGAGGGCGCTCTCGCGCTGAAACTCCAAATACGCCTCGCAGAAGAAACCCAGAAAATGCCTATCGCTGCAGCTGAATAAACAGAAGATCCAACTGCTTTCATTGATTCAACGTGACTAATAAACACATGACTACGGCAATATGCGGTTTATCTGAGTATTTATTATTATTATTTTCATTAAAATAAAGTATTTATAATGCAATGCCTTTATCACTGCTTAAATACTATGAAATATGTTGCGTGCTTATTCTGTGTGAGAAGCCACATCATCTCACAGAAGGATTTGTCAAACACTCGACTGACGTTATGAAGTGAGTTTGGAGTAAAAACATGTTATTAAATGTGGTATTTTCACATGCTTTCAGATGGAGCAG